CTGGGTAACAAAAGCGAAACTCCGTCTCAAAAAAAAAAAAAAAAGAAGAGAAGAAGAAGAGGACATTCTGCAGACACCAAATTAAAAATATTATTTGTTTCTCCCAGCCTTGGTCTCACCTAATACACAGGCACACTCTTAGCTTATTCCCACCACCCATCTCATAGTCGTCATTATTTTGCCATGTATGTGAAACCCAAGGAGTGCCTAGAGTCATTTCCCGGCTTTATGCCTCAAGCCTATAGTTCTTGCTGGTCCATAGATGACTAAGAAAATGTCTGTTTCTGTGTGCTCCGATGCAGTCTGCTGGGGGCACATAGCTGCCAGTCTGCCCTGCCATGGCCACAAGCACTAACACTCTCCACAGGTGTCTAGGGCAGTCAGCATGTGCCTGCTCCTTCCTGACACGTGCATGGCTGTGTTTTCAGTATACGTAACTGAAGGAAATGTGGCAATAGCTTCCAAGACCAAGCAAATAATTTTATTTATTCATTTAACAAATGATACCCGCAACTCACCAGGCACTTGGGATACAGCGGTGGAAAACCAGAGGTGTCTGTTGCCATAGAGCTTACGTTCCAGCGGGGAGTAAATAAATAAATATTTAATATTTAATATTTAATATGTCAGGTGACATCAGTGTGAAGTAATCAACACAGTGCAAGAGCTAGAGATACAGGGAGACTGTGTTTGGATGAGATTGTCAGGGAAGAAGGCATTGGAGCAAAGACTTGGATAAAGAGAGACAAAGCCCTGCTGATACAGGCAGGGAATATGTGCCGGGGACAGGGAGACCACGTGTGACGTCTCTGGAGGCTGCAGTCGGCTTGAGTTGTTTAAAGAAGTTCAGAGGGAGCAAGATGGCCGAGGCAAGGTATGCAAGGAGCACATGGGAGATGAGCTATATCATGTTGGGTGCTATAGGCCAAGGTAAGAACTTTAGATTTTACTTGGAGTGAGATAGGAAGTCCCTAGGAACCAAGGCTAGAGCAGAGAAGCAACATGATTGGACTTGAGTTTTAGGAGAATCTTTCTGGCTGTTGGTCTGGAAAAGAGACTATTAGGAACTAAGGGTCTAAGCAAGGAGACCTGACTCATTATATTCACATCACCCCTGGCCTTTGATATTGGGGGTGGTCTATGAAATTATTACTCTATTTGCACGTGGCCATTTATGTTTACTGAATGCTTTGTGCCAGGCATCATGTTACACACCAGGGCCATGAAGGAGATCAAGGTACACTTCCTGCTGTCTAAAGATTTACAATGTAATGGAAGACACAGATAAAATAATAATGACAACACTCAGTACAGGTGCTGTAATAGAGTGCTGTACCAAGTATTATCAGAGGAATAATACTTTCTAGTATTTTATTCTAATAATTTGTATTATTACTACTCTGAGTAAAGGAGAAATAAGAAACTAGAACTGTGCACTCTGACTTGCCAACCAGGTACAGAAACAAAGTGAAGATTTCAGCAGCTTCCCAAGTGCACAAAGCATGCAGCCATGCAGACTGTCTCTGAATAGATCTGTCCATATTTGAAAGTTAACACCTATTAAAACGCAACATAGGCATGATGGAAAAAGTACTCGAAAATAAGAGAAAGAAAGCACCATGCTAAAGGCCTTGAAGTAGAGCAGATCTCTACTGCTCCTTCCCTGCAGGAGCCAGAGAAAGATTTCAGAAAGTGATTTGTGTACTAACGTGTCCTGGAAGACCACTATGAAAGAGGAACCCCACTGAAAATACAAGCTGAGATGAACAGACCACGGAGACGTGTCTTAAATTATATCCTACCAGCTTGAAAGAGCAAATGCTTCTTCTCAAAACTTCATTGACCTCCAGTCACTGTGGATCAGTGCGGGGCCCCACAGAGACTGGAAAGGATGAAGCACAACTTAAGGTGGGGAACGCAGCAGTGCTCATTAGCAGATATGATTATGCACGAAAATTGGAAAATAAAGGGGTGGAAAGAGGCAGATCAGGCAGCCACTGTAAAATTTACAATTGGCTTGGAAAAATGTATAGAGAACAAAATTGAATACAAGGCCAAAGTATTTAAAATGATGAGGACCAATGCCTTATATTGATGACAGTGCATTTTGTCAGGAAGTTGACAAAATTAAGGACTAAACAACGTAGCACTGAAACTTATAAAATACAAACATCTAAAAAATACAAAGAGAAACTGGCAAAACCAGATCCAAGGAGGAGGAAAACAACTCACTCCCAGAAAATGAAAAATCAGATAGAAAAAAAAACAACATAAAGAATTTGAATATCACAAATATCCAGCTTGATTTGTTACATACATATATAGGGTTGTATACACCATGGATCATTTACAATAATTAGCCAAGTGTTAGGTTACCAAAAAATTCTAAATGACGTTTTCAAATCAGTAGCCGAAGTTCTGATTACAATACCATGAAACCAGACAGTAAATAACAAAGGCTGGCCCAAAAGAAACTTTCCACTTAGAAATGTCAAATTACTCTAAATAACTTGTGGATGAAGAAAATCTCAAAACTAACATTAAAACTATTCAGAAATGAGTGAGAATAAAAGTACTGTATATTGAAACAGAATTTGGATGAAGCACTAGTCAAGGAAAATTTGACTACAGAGGCATGGATTAGAAACTGAGAAAGATGGATAATAACTAAGAAAAAGAGTCAATTCAGTAGAGTAGAAATAGAGTAGTCTAAACCCAAAGCAAGGCATGTTAGCCTAAGGTAAAGAGAGTGAGCTCAGGAACCAGACAATCTAGGATAGAAACCTGACTCCACTACTTTCCATCTTGGTCCTCAGTAAAACTATTTGACCTCTCAGTTCCTCAATTTTCTCATCAGCAAACTGGGGATTCTCATTATCTTGTTAAATGAATTAAATGAGATCGTACTGGTAAGGTTCTTAGGAGAGTGCCTGGCACACAGCAAGCATCACATAAATATAAGCTTATTTTAAAAAGAAGCAAATAATATAATTCAATTAGTCAAGGACTCATTTTCTAGTGGCAGAGGTAGGACAAAGTCAATTTCAATTTTCTGTAAATAAATGCCTTTTACCACAATCTTAGATCCTCTAAGCACGCCCAGGTAGAGAGTATGTTGATGTTGAAGCAATCTAGATGGCTTCAGCAGTGAAATCTACCAAACATTTAGAGAGAAATTAATACCAAATTAACTTTTTGTTTCTAGAGTAAATTCAATTCTAGAATAAACCTACTAAACATAGGCAAAATTTATACACAGAAAGTTTAAAACACTAAAAGAATTTTTTTAATGATGTAGAAGAAATAGAGGGGTATACTATGTTCATAGATTGGAGGAGGCAATACTGTGGATACTAATTCTTTACAAACTGTTTTTTTTTTTTTTTTTTGAGATGGAGTCTCATTCTGTCACCAGGTTGGAATGCAGTGGTGCCATCTTGGCTCACGGCAACCTCCACCTCCCAGGTTCAAGTGATTCTCCTGCCTCAGCCTCTTGAGTAGCTGGTACTACAGGGGCATGCCACTATGCCCAGCTAATTTGTATTTTTAGTAGGGACAGGGTTTCACCATATTGGCCAGGATGGTCTCAATCTCTTGACCTCGTGACCTGCCTGTCTCAGCCTCCCAAAGTGCTGGGATTACAGGCATGAGCCACCACACCCAGTCAAGAGGTAATTTTTTAATCTTCATCCTCCTCCCACTCTCCATCCTCAAGCAGGCCCTGGTGTCGTTCTCTTCTTTGTGTCTATATGTACTTGATGTTTCGCTCCCACTTATAAGTGAGAACATACAGTATTTGGTTTTCTTTTCCTGTGTTGGTTCACTTAGGATGATGGCCGCCAGCTCCATTCATGTTCCTGCAAACAACATGATCATCTGTTTATGGCTGCAAAGTATTCCATGGTGTATACGTACCACATTTTATTAATCCAGTCTACCATTGATGGGTACTTTGGTTGATTCCATATCTTTGCTATTGTGAATCATGCTGCAGTGAACCTACACGTACATGTGTCTTTATGGTAGAATGATTTATATTCCTTTGGGCATATACTCAATAATGGGATTGCTGGGTCGAATGGTAATTCCGTTTTAAGTTCTCTCAGAAATCGCCAAACAACAAGTAACTTTTCAAAAATAAAGAAAACATTTTCATTCCAAAACACATGTTTTAAAAAGTGCTTATGTTGATTATCTGAGCCTTAGAAAATGATAAGCAGAAAAATCACTCTTGCTAGATATTCACATACTTGTTTCTAAATAATATCAGTCTTTAATATAATGTCACTAGTTTTTCCTGAAGAATGTGTTTTATAATATGAATTTATTTCTTTTAAATGTTTTCATAAAATTTTCTTTATTTTTCTTTACAATTTTGGTAAATACATTTGAAATCATTGCCCCATTCCACTGGCTCTTCTATGTGGGTCATAATGTTTTTAACTCAGAAAATAAAGTCTGCAAGTATTGAGGTACTTATCAGCTGAAGGCAAATTTTACTACATAGAGAACATTCTCATTCTCACGTCTGGGTTCTGTACTGAAATATGTAAATATTTCAGCACACACTTCTTATAGGTACTGTCTACTTGCTTCCATTCAGAATGCCTTTTTTCAACAGCTCTTTTATAAGAAAAACCTCAGGCAAGTTACCACTACTTATAATTTTTAAAAATGTTTCACAAATTTAGATGCTACAAAATCTCAATTTAATTCCATTCTAGTAAAGAATGCAGTTTACCCAGTTAAAACTTTTTAACAGTTTACCCAGTTAAAACAAGAGTTCCAACAAAAGATTTTGAATTCAAGTAGAAAAATCCTAAAGTGCCATTGTAGAACTTTAAAATTATATCTTTTATAAGTTTTAAGGATTCTTCATTTAGCCTCTTCATTTTCTCCTTTCTTTATAGGCATAAAATTCAATGTGCTCCTGTTTGTAAGCTTCATTTAGTATTCTAATTAATTGTGACCAGTCCAAAAGATAGGTAACTACTAATTATAATTTTTAAAATAAAGGCCTTGAGAGGTTAAATAAGCTGCCCAAGGGTTACATATTTATTCATGATAACCCTGCCAGAATATTCCCTTTGCCTAGAAAGCCTTGGCCATCATGGTCTCATCTTCTGTTCTCTTCATCCTATAGCTCTGATTAAAGTTTCCTTCTCTAAAATGCCTTCCCTAAACTTCTGAAACATACTAAGTCTCCCTGCTTTACTTGTAATTTTCTTTCTAAACTATCTCCATGTAGTCTTATTACCAAGTAATCTCTAAGTCCCTAGAAGCCCTAAAAATGGCTATAATTTCACCAAGTTTACAGCAATTTACTGTGTTGAGAGGTTGGGAATAGATTGCCTTATATATATTTTTTAAATTTCCATAAACCGGCCGGGCGTGGTGGCTCACGCCTGTAATCCCAGCACTTTGGGAGGCCGAGGCGGGTGGATCACGAGGTCAAGAGATCGAGACCCTCCTGGTCAACATGGTGAAACCCTGTCTCTACTAAAAATGCAAAAAATCAGCTGGGCATGGTGGCGCGTGCCTGTAATCCCAGCTACTCGGGAGGTTGAGGCAGGAGAATTGCCTGAACCCAGGAGGCGGAGGTTGCGGTGAGCCGAGATCGCGCCATTGCACTCTAGCCTGGGTAACAAGAGCGAAACTCCGTCTCAAAAAAAAAAAAAAAAATTTCCATAAACCTTTTGTTAATTCAACAAGGCTTATAAAGATTTATTCTTGAGGACGCTGCCTCTATAATTGTGTTCTAAAAAAATCATTATGATGATATCATTAAACATCTGGAAAGACAAATAAAACATCTTTGGGGTATTCTGTTCAGAAAAGAATAAAACACTGCTGTCTGGCAACAATAACATGTCATTTCCTCAAGCTGAAATGTGGAATTTCATTTCTCCTGACCCAAATGAACTCTGCTAACAGTCCTAAGAGGAAGTTAGAGAGTCAAAGAACCCTTGCCTCAGAGCTACTGTGAACAGCATCATTACACTCTAATAGATGTGTTTTCTGTAGCGTATTCTAGAACCATTTGAGAACCATTCGATAGACAAAATGATAAAGATTAAGAGTTATTATAACTGCCAAAGTCATAGTTAGGCAAATACATCTTCAGTAAGGACAGCACATATATCAAAACAGCCTTAGAGTAATGTGAGAGCTTTTTCATAGAGGAAATTACTAAGAAAGAGAAGAAAAGAATTAGAGGTACAATAATTACAAACATTGCTATTTATCTGGCAAAAATACAGGCTGGGAGGAAGACAGAAGGACGTGAGGATGTGAAATTGCCGGCAGAGTCACAACGTTTCGTTGGCATGTTACACACATTTATTTTTGCCAAATATCTATTTCAACACCACACCCCCAGACAGAATTTTGGTCTTATGCAATAGAATGGTTTGGCATTTCTTCTGTACTAGAAAAATTAAATAGATGAAAAAATAAAAGATGAAATAATTTGTGTGACTGTACTTACTGGGAAGAAAAGAGAATAATGTGGATTAGGACCACATAGAAAGGTGACCAAATACTTAAAATCCTGAAGTGCTGTTGAGGTATGAGATTATTTTTATAAAATGCACTGTAAATTGCATTATTTCAGACTGTGTGGGGTTGAAATTGAAAGCCCATATTTCACTAACTTAACTAAGAAAGTTTTTGTGGACATCAAGAATAGAGGTGCTTATGAGACACCCAGAGCCTGCCGTAATCACCTCCAACATATTGTACCTGCGTCTCTCCTGTCTGGTTCTCACAGCGTGTTGACTTCATCTGACTTCGGGATGGTTTTTTCCATATGCTGAAAACACAACTTCTAATAGCTTCAAAATTGTGTATCTTATGAGCTCAATCACCAGGGAGACATTTCCCTAACACTCCTTTGGTACCTAGTGAGTGACCTACCATGAAATAGGCTCACTGACACGGTTTGGGTCCAAAGGCCCATGAATTGTGATCATGTGAAAAAGTGGAAGTGCCTGTAAGAAAAAGATAAATGGAGTGTGAGGAGTGATATTCATATAACCTCGGTCTGCACAGTTCCAAAAATGGGTATCTCCTATTCCAGTGCATGTGGAAAGGTTTCACAGTGTTTATAAAGTATAGTGAATAGAAGAATCTGTTGGCAACAAAATAACTTAAAAATATTAGCTAAACTTTCCTGCTAAAAGTAATTATACTGTGTATGTCAAAGTTCCCTATCAACTTCCTGTGTTGGAAGAGTGAAAATACAATTACTGTTATTCTTTGCATTTTTATATATTACTTTTTGTTTTTGTTTTGTTTTTGTTTCTGAGATGGAGTCTTGCTCTTGTCACCCAGGCTGGAGTGCAATGGCACGATCTGGGCTCACTGCAACTTCCACCTCCCAGGTTCAAGCAATTCTCCTGCCTCAGCCTCCGGAGTAGCTGGGATTACCAGCGCCTGCCAGCACTCAGCTAATTTTTGTATTTTTAGTAGAGATGGAGTTTTGCCATGTTGGCCAGGCTGGTCTCAAACTCCTGACCTTGTGATCCACCCACTTCAGCCTCCCAAAGTGCTGGGATTACAGGTGTGAGCCACCACACCCAGCCTAGTCTTCTACTCTTTACTAAGGGTTTTTTTTTTTTTTAACCTCAATTAAAGATATCAAACAAATTCAATTAGAAAATTATCTGTATTTGTTTAATTAAGTTATATTCTATAGGTAAGGAAATTGAGGGACAAATGAATGATGTAAATTTCCCAACAATGAGCAGCCAGTTACAGACAGGGCAAAGATTCAAACACAGTCCTCTTCGTTCTAAATCCTGAAAACTGATAAAGCACAGTGTAAGAGCACGATCCAGATCTTCAGAGATACACTTCTAACAAGGGTTGCTTGTTTTTGTTTTATTTTTTTACTTTCCACATATTAATTCACTACAATGATGAAAGTTAGTATCAATTTTTCTCTTCACTATTAACAAAATAATATCTTCCTTGTTTTAGTTTGATTTGCAGTTTCTCAGCGCAATTCCTTTCCCTTCTCTATTATGTTGCAATATATTACTCCAATCAGTCTTTGCATAAACACATCAAAAGCCAATTTGGCTGGTGTGGGGATTGTTAGGCAGATAGGAACAGAAACACCTGCTGCAGTCCTCTAATGGGCTCTAAATTAAGATTGTCAGAAACTTGCCTCAAGTGAAATCAGACAGAAGAAATGTTCCAAATCCAGCTGGGATGACTGTCAGCTGGTAACAGGTGTGTCTTAGTCCACATGGGCTGCTATGATGCCCTTAGCTCCTGCGTGGCTTATAAACAACAGAAATTTATTTCTCACAGTTCTGGAGGCTGAGCAGTGCGAGAGCAAGGCAGATTCAGTGTCTGGTGAAGTTCACTTTCTTGTACATAGATGTTGCCTTCTTACTGTGTCATCGCATGGTGAAAGGGGAGAGAAATCTCTCTTCATCTTTTTTTTTTTTTTTTTTTGAGACGAAGTTTCACTCTGGTTGCCCGGGCTAGAGTGCAATGGTGTGATCTTGGCTCACTGCAACCTCCACCTCTGGGTTCAAGTGATTCTCCTGCCTCAGCCTCCCGAGTAGCTGAGATTACAGGCATGTGCCACCACACCCGGCTAATTTTTTTGTGTATTTTAGTGGAAACGGGGTTTCACCATGTTGGTTTCACCAGGCTGGCCTCAAACTCCTGACCTTATGTGATCCACCTACCTTGGCCTCCCAAAGTGCTGGCATTACAGGCATGAGCCACCGTGCCAGCCTCTGTATTTCTGTCAGCTGTTCTCTCTGGAGGTACAGGCACAGGTGCTCGACTTCCTGACTCTTCATCAGGCTCAGCTCCTTTTTTTTTGAGACAGAGTTTGGCTCTTGTTACCCAGGCTGGAGTGCAACGGCGCGATCTCGGCTCACCGCAACCTCAACCTCCTGGGTTCAGGCAATTCTCCTGCCTCAGCCTCCTGAGTAGCTGGGATTACAGGCATGCACCACCATGCCCAGCTGATTTTTTGTATTTTTAGTAGAGATGGGGTTTCACCATGCTGACCAGGACGGTCTCGATCTCTTGACCTCGTGATCCACCTGCCTCGGCCTCCCAAAGTGCTGGGATTACAGGCTTGAGCCACCGTGCCCGGCCCGAAGGCTCAGCTCCTTATATGAGACATGGAGCATACCCAAAGTCTACATCAATATCCACAAGACCACAGTGTGTATCCGAAGTCTGTGTCAATATCTGTGAGACATAGAGCGAACCAGGAGTCTACCTCAATGTCCATGAGGCCAGGCATCCTCGAAGTCTGCGTCGATATTCACAAGACGTAGAGCGTACCGGAAGTCTTCATCTTTTATAAGGCTTTTATAAGGGCACTAATCCCATTCATGAGGGCTCCACTCCCATGACCTAATCACCTCTCATATGTCCTACCTCCTATGCCATCACCTTGGGGATTAAGATTTCAACATATGAATTTTGCAGGAAACACAAACATTCAGACCAGAGCAAATGATCAACCATATCTTACAACGGGAGGTGTTGGAAGTCTTGATGATGTACCACTGGTACTTTTAGAAATGTGCCGTGTCAGTATCATAGTGCCCCTTAAAAATGTCATTGACATCCTATAGCTTCATGGGCCTACGGAGAATGTGGTGAACAAGGTAGAAGTTTTATCAAGGAATAACTCAACTTTATTTCAGATCTAGAGTATTTAAAAGTCTTTAAGCAAAATAAATCAGTACTTTGTACATGCATATTCTAGTTTCATGATTTTAAAAATGAGAATTTCCAATTTAAAGGAGATAAGCAGATGACAAATTATTTAGCACTGCCTAAGAATTTTATTTCAAGAAGATTTTTTTTTTTTCTCTGAGACAGAGTTACACTCAGTCGCCCAGGCTGGAGTGCAGTGGCACGATCTCGGCTCACTGCAACCTCTGCCTCCCAGGTTCAAACAATTCTCTGCCTCAGTCTCCTGAGTAGCTGGGATTACAGGAGCCTGCCACCGCGCCCAGCTAATGTGTGTGTGTGTGTGTGTGTGTGTGTGTGTGTGTGTGTGTGTGTGTCTGTGTGTGTGTGTGTGTGTGTGTGTGTGTGTGTGTGTGTGTGTGTGTTTAGTAGAGACAGGGTTTCACCATTTTGGCCAGGTTGGTCCCAAGAAATTTTAACACACAAATGCACCTCTTCAGTGTATTATGTCCATAGATTTTAATCCAAGAAACACACAAAAATTCTTCTTAAACCTATTCAACTAGGTAACTACCCAACAATTTGAATTTAAGATTGTGAAACATAAAGGAACATCTCTTCTTTTAAAAATGTATTGATATTATTTTGAAGGATTTCTGAAATTCAAGAATGTGGCTTTACAGTTACTTAAAAGATCATAATCCTAAACCTTTTCAGGAAAGGCACTTTGTGTGTAGGGACAAAGATGGAAAGCAGACCAGTAGCCAGGCCAGTAGCGGCAATCAAGTGGCTCAGTTCATCTGGAAAGGGACAGGAAGGCAAACGTACAGTGAGAAATCCACATTCAGGTAAGAACATGGAGTCAAAATTCAAATCCAAGCAGTATCTCCTTCCCACTGGCATAATAGTTCTGCCTAATAATTTTATTTTTGTCTTCAGCACATACTGTTGACTCCACACATAGTATCTAATGTGTTTGTAATGCAATGAATCAAGTTATTATCTTGCTAAATATTAAGGACAATTAACCAAAACCCTTTCTTTAAATTTTAAGATTTTTTTCACTTTTGTTGGCGCTTTATGGAAAAAAGGGAAAGCAGTACTCATTTGTATTCCTCCCCTTCCTGAACAAACTGCCAAAATGCACAAAAAGCAGTCAAAAGTAGGGGAAAAAAGTTTATCTGTACTGAAAATAGGGTATGTCACAGTTCCACAGTGTAAAATCAGGAGAACATTTGCCAACTGCGGCACGCTTTGGGTGAGATGGAAAGAGGGAGCTTAAAACCAACAGATGCTCCCTTTACATGTGAGCACAAAAGTACAGAGAGGGGAAAGTTCTAGATAAAAGAAAGAATGAGGCTTCTTTTCTCTCGTCTAGCCATTTAGACTTTCTTTTATTTTGTTGGACAAACTTTATGACTATGACTTGTATGACATGAACTGACCCATTCTAAGTGAATAGCTTGGTGAGATATGGCAAAGTCATGCACCTATGTAAATACCAAGACATCAAGATATGGCCATTTTCATCACCCACAAAACTCCTGTGGACCAATTTGCATTATCCCTGGACTGCTTTCTGTGACATGAACTAGTTTTATCTTTTTTTTTTTTTTGAGACGAAGTTTTGCTCTTGACCCCCAGGCTGGAGTGCAATGGTGTGATCTCGAATCACTGCAACCTCTGCCTCCTGGGTTCAAGCGATTCTCCTGCCTCAGTCTCCCGAGTAGCTGGGATTACAGGCACGCATCACCATGCCTGGCTAATATTTGTATTTTTAGTAGAGATGGGGTTTCACCATGTTGGCCATGCTGGTCTCAAACTCCAGATCTCAAGTGATCCACCCACCTCAGCCTCGAAAAGTGTTAGGATTATAGGCATGAGCCCCCATGCCCGGCCAAGTTTTATCTTTTATAGAACCGCACATGGATGGTGTAAACTCCATTATGCTTGGCTTCCTTCACTCACTTTAATGTTTTTGAGATTCATGTATGGGTGTTGCATGTAACACCAGCTTGTTCCTTTTCCATGCTGAGTTGGATTTCATTGTATAGTTATACCACAGTCTCTTTATCCATTTACTATTTAAATGATGCTTCATGTTATTTCCAGATTTTGACTATTACGAATAAAGCTTCTATGAATTTTTATAGAATATTCATACAAGGCTTTGTGGGTCATACAGTTTTATTTTTCTTTATAAATACCTAGGAGTGAAATTGCTAAGTTATATGGGAAGTATACACATTCAACCATAGAAGAAACTTCCAGAATATTTGCCAGAGTGGCTATACCATTGCACATTCCCCAGTAATTTATGTGTTCCAGGTGTCCTACTTCCAATTCAACACTTGTTGTTGTCTGAATTTTAAATTCTAGACATTTTGATAGATGTACAGTGGCATTTTACACATTTCAGTGATGACTAATGACACTGAGCATTTTCATATGTCTTCTTTATGTAGTTTTTGTTCACGTATTTTGTCAATTTTTAGATTAGTTTACTTACCTTATCATAATTGGGTTGTAGAATGACTTTCTATATTTTGGATATGAGTCCTTTGTGTAATTATACATACTATTTCCCTGTTACTACTATAATAAATTACCACAAACTTAGTGGCAATGCAAATGTATTCTGTTACAGTTCTAGAAATTAGAAGTCCCAGACTGGGTCTCACTGGGCTAAAAAAAACGTTGGCAAAAAAGAGAAGTTTTTGGAGGTTTTTTTTTTTTTTGAGACTGTGCCTCACTCTATCACCCAGGCTGGAGTGCAATGGTGGGATCTCACTTCACTGCAACCTCTGCCTCCCAGGTTCAAGTGATCCTCATGCCTTAGCCTCCAGAGGAGCTGGGATTACAGGCACGAGCTACCGTACCCAGATAATTTGTGTGTTTTTAGTAGAGACGGGGTTTCATCGCATTTGCCAGGCTGGTCTTGAACTCAAGTGATCCACCCACCTCGGCCTCCCAAAGTGCTGGGGTTATAGGCGTGAGCCACTGCATCCAGCCAGAAAAGGGAAGTTTTTAATTTTGACAAAGACCAATGTATCATTTTTTTCTATTATAGTTTGTGCTTTAGGGTTACATATTTAAATCTTTGCCTCCAAGATTAAAGCTATATACATTTCCCTCTCAACCGTGTTTCTTCATTATCATTCATTTCAAAATATTTGATCATTACCTGTTTGACACCTTCTTTGACCCATGGATTATTTAGAATTCTGCTGTTTAATTTTCAAACATTTGGCGATGTTAAAAATTTTTTATTTTTAAATTTCTAATATAATTCTATTATAGTCAGAGAAAATATTTAATTTTAATATTTTTAAATTATCAAGTCTTGTTTGATAGTACAGCATAGATGGTCTGTATTTGGTGAAAATTTAAGGTGCACTTGTAAAGAGGGTATACTGTGCTTCTCTTGAATAGCTTGAGCCACGAAAGTCCAAAAGTCAATTTGATTAAGTTGATTGATAGTGTTGTTCCATTAATTTATATCTTATTAATTATCCGTGTCCTTATTCTATTAATTTCTGAGTAAGAAGTGTTTACTTCTCTCTTTAGGCATGTATGTTTTTCTCCATGTAACTTTAAGCTTTATTATAGCTGTATGCACATTTAATATACTTGCACATTCTTGCTGAATTGACCTCTGTGTCTTTTTCAAGTGTTCCTCTTTATGCATGACAATATTCCTTTTCCAAATTCTACTTTTTTCATATTAATATAGTCATCCTAAATTTCTTGTGATTTACATTAGCATGATATATCTTAATTTAATCTATCCATTTCTTTATAAAATAGATTTTTAAGACACCCTGTGGTTTTTAAACTCTTTATATAGAGTTATATATGTGTACACACACACACACACACACACACATATATATATTCAACTCAGTTTTCCCACATATTAACTTTGCACAATATATAAACTGTTAAAGAAAGACCTTTTGCTTTTGTTTCTTGTACTTTAAAAAACCTATAAAGGACTTGTTTCTCCTATTTCTTATTGCACTCTTTGAATCATTCTGAAAGGAGTTGTGATAACTGAGATTTATTTATTTATTTACTTTTTGAGATGGAGTCTTGTTCTGTCACCCAGGCTGGAGTGCAATGGCACGGTCTCGGCTCACTGCAACTTTCACCTTCCAGGTTCAAGTGATTTTCCTGCCTCAGCCTCCTGAGTAGCTTGGATTACAAGCGTGCACCGCCATACCCAGCTAATTTTTTTATATTTTTGTTAGAGATGGGATTTCACTGTGTTGGCCAGGCTGGTCTTGAACTCCTGATCTAAAGTGATCCGCCTGCCTCAGCCTCCCAAAGTGCTGGGATTATAGGCATGAGCCACTGCGCCTGGCCTGAGGTTTATTTTTTTAAGCAGATTTGTGTTCTACATTTTCTTTACATAACTTGAAAGAACATCCCAATAAGAACTTGATGAATGATTATATAGTATGATAACTGATCACAATGAATATTGTTAAACACCAGAACTACTGGGAAATCAAAATAAACTCTTTAGGAAGGATGTCATGTACAAATAGCAAAAAATAAACCAAACCTTCATCAAAAGTGACAATTTCACTTTGATTATACATCAGATAATAATGGCTATAAAACTGTGATGGATGAGCCCTCTTTAGAAATGAACTGAAATGCATAGACAAGAGTACATTAATGGATTTGGAAGGGTTTGGGTTCTTCCCGGATTATAACAAAACTCAGTTAAGTCCCTAAAAGCGGGGTGGAAATGATAGACAGCAAACCAGATTACATGAAGCTTTGGAACTACAGATGTATTGCCTTCACATAGACTCATAATTAGCTAAGGAGTGAATAAAAATGAATTTACACAAAGAAAACAATTTTTCACTTGATACATAGGAAACATTTGTACACAATACAGAAAGCACCCCCACCCAACACGGAGATTTTGAATACACATTATGGTTGTGTACTCATTAAGGATGCTCTTGAAATCACATTAAGGGCCTGGTGTGGTGGCTCACACCTATAATTGCAGCACTTGGAGAGGCCAAGGTGGGTAGATCACAAGGTCAGGAGTTTGAGACCAGTCTGGCCAAGATGGTGAAACCCCCATCTCCGTTAAAAGTATAAAAATCAACCGGGCATGGTGGCACATGCCTGTAATCCCAGCTACTTGAGAGGCTGAGGCAGAGAATTGCTTAAACCCTGGAGGCAGAGGTTGTAGTGAGCTGAAATTGCACCACTGCATTCCAGCCTGGGCAATGGAGCAAGGCTCCATCTCACAAAAAAAAAAAAAAAAAAAAAAAAGAAAAGAAAGAAAAAGGAAAACACATTAAGGATGCTTTTGAATAGACATTCATTATAGAGTGGTTCGTGTAATTCTTCATAACTTGAAAATGAATACAATTACACTGGACTGGAGAATGCTTACATAGCAAGGCACACCCCATCTCCTTGGACAAGAAGATAATCATAAAATATTGTCGATAATTCTGTATGGTCAGCCTTTTCCCTGACCTTCCTCACTCCAGGGCTAGAGACCTTGCATCGTGGGCAGTAGCTGCAGTGGCAGGACCTTTGCAGCCGTCTTTCCTATTTTACAGTGGTCCACTCCGCCTTTTATTCTGCATCATCCTGACAGCATCGCCTCCTCCTATGCAGGGAGTGAAGTGGAGGCGTTGTCTTCCGACCACAGGAAGCAGTGTAAGGACCAGCGTGGCATCTTCTTCGCCCTACAGCCAGGCACCTGCATCACAGCAGACACTTGTCACGTGCTGAATTATGGCCACCTGGTGGTCTGCGGAATTGGGACTCGTGAATGTCAGCCTCAGACACATTATCTGAGGTCAGGTAGCTCGGGTGAATCATCTCGAACGCGATGCTGTTTCATAGTTTGCCATTGATTTTCCTGACAGATGTGGTTAAACACATATTCCGTATTCTTCTTGAGCAAATCATATTAGAGACAGAGAAAAAAAATCTAACATAAGGAGATGCTGAGGCTAATTAGCAGTCTGCCTTTTTGTTGTTTTCTCTCCTCTGAAAGTTCCATGACTGTTTCAACTTCTGACCCTAGAAGGCCCATATCTCTTGGCTCTGTTTTTTAAAATCTCATCACTATTTTAATGCATGTAATTTCCAGTCCCCTAGCCCTAAAGTCCCTCTAAAGCCCCAGCCGTCTCAGTTCTCTGCACCCTGATCCCCCACGTGCTCTGCAGGTGTGTTCTGGTCCCTGGTCCCTGCTAACGATCCCTTCCCCTGTCTGCGACTCATGCATCAGGGCCTGTGGGCCCTCATCCCACCCCGGCTGGAGTGAGGGGAGAAACCACAGCCCTCTCCCAAAGTCTTGAGAAGCAGGTGTTTGTTGCAGGCTTTTTTGGAGGGACGGCAGATCAGGAGTGTAACAGTGCCTCCAACAGCAATACTGGCTTAAAATAACCCTCCCGAGGAGAGCCAGTTTCTCACTCTCAGCAGCATCTCCCACTCTTCCCCATGCTGTCGCCTCTAAAGTCAGCTCTCGGGCCCCCGCCATTCTCCTGGAGAAGCAGGAAAGCAGTCCTCCGCTAACCGCCTCCCTCTTAGGGACGAACTCCCTGGGGGTCTGGGGAGCACCTGCCTTCCTGCACCCTTGGTGCTGTTGTGTAAAGCTGCCTCTCCACAAGCTGTCAGTCTCCTCCAATCATGTGGGAATCCTCATAAAGCCAGGGCCACTGTTTCTACTTTATTCTTTAAACTGTCACATGATACAAAAACCAGTATACAGATAGAAAAAAGTTTTAATTTTTAATTTCATTTATACTTTAACGCACAAAGTTTTATGTCAATATATAACAGTCTTTGAAATTCCTTTTCTTGTTTCTTTAGACTTTCTTCCTTCACCTGCATCGGGATTGCCCAACGCACAACAAACACGGTCAGGCCCTCCTCGTGTCTTCCCAGGGTGTCTCTGTGCTTGCAGAATCCCTACATACCGACAAAAACAAACACAGAGACAGCTCCTTTTTGTTTTAAAAGCTGGCATCCTACTATACATACTTTTCTGCATGTTGGTTTTCTAATTCAACAGTACCTTGTGAAAAACATTTTCAAAACAACAGATATACTTTTAAATTATACTTTTTTTTTTTTTTTTTTTTGAGACAGAGCCTTGCTCTGAGCTCTGTCTCCCAGGCTGGAGTGCAGTGGTGCAATCTCAGCTCACTATAACCTCCTGGGTTTAAGTAATTCTCCTGCCTCAGCCTTCCAAGTAGCTGGGATTGCAGGTGCCCACCACCACACCTGGCTAATTTTTGTATTTTTAGTAGAGATGGGTTTTCACCATGTTGGCTAGGCTGGTCTCTAGCTCCTGACCTCAAGTGATCCACCCACCCTTGGCCTCCCAAAGTGCTGGGATTACAGGTGTGAGCCACCACACCAGGCCTATACTTTTTAATAACTGTTTCATTCATGCTGCAGATCAGGACTTTGTAACACGAGCACTATGGTTTTAGGCATGGAAACCATTGTGGTCGGGGCTGCCCTGTGCATTGGGAGATGTTTAGCAGCATCTCTGACCCCTACCCTCTAGATGCCAGGAGCATTGCTGCCACCTTCCACCTGTGACAACCAAAAATGTC